AATATTTTAAAAGGGAAGAATTATTTTTAATTATTCAAAAATTCAATTTTCATTTATTAGGAATGTCAGTGGACATAGCCAAAATGATGGGAGACACAACAATCCAAGGAGCAATAGAAGAAAACTATGAAACTAAAAAAAAAACTAAAAAGTCTTTAGATTGAAATGGTCCCCTTAAGATCAAGCACTATTAATTAAAATAGCTAATATGCAATTCTGGTAATTACATTTTAGTTTTTGGTGACTGAAAAATCCTATAATCCTATCCAAGAAAGGAAAACTTGTTTTGCCTTAGGATTCCCTCCCCGCCCCAAATACACAGCAAAAACATAAGATGATACTGACAATTGAAGTTTTTATATAATTTTTTTCCCTTGGGAAAAAAACATAAGAAAATACACTAAACTTACAATATACAAATGATAAGTATATAGTTCAATGCTTTTTCAAAAAGACATCCCCCATATACTCAGTATCTACTTAACATGACCATCAGCCTAGGCCGCCCTCATCCCCCTACAGCCACTACATGCCACAGGGTAACTCCATGCTGACCTTAATACCATCAGCTAGTTTAGCCTGTTTTTGAATTCTGCTTACATGGACTCATACAGTGTATGGTTTTTTGTGCTTTGCTTCTTCTTTTTTTTTTTTTGGTCATTATGCTTTGCATATAGTGTGATACACTCATTCTCCTTGTTACATGGTATTCCATGGTATGACTGTACTACAATCTATCCATTCCACTGCTGACGAGCTTCATTAACAGACCCGTACTTCACATTATACGATAATCATTATATATTTCTTTAGTGTGTGTTGTATACATTTCTGCTGGGTCTATAGCTAAATGTGGAATCGCTTTGTCATAGATGGACATGTGCTTAAATTTAATAATATTGACAGTTTTCTCAAGTGATCCTACTAATTTACATTTCTGTCAGCAGTATATTAGTGTTCTAGTTGCTTCAGTTCCTTCCAACATTGAGTATATCTGTCTTTAATTTCAGTCATTCGGGAAAGTGTGTGGTTATATCACATTGTGGTTTTACTATGTATTTCCCTGATGACTAATGAGGTTTAGAACTTATTATGTGCTTATTGGCCATTTGAATGTCCTCTGTTTCAGTATCTGTTCAACTCTTTTACCCTTAATACTCCTTTGTATAAATTACTATAGTTTCATGAATCTTGATTTCTGATAATATATAAGTCCTTCATTTGTATATTTCACCTTCAAGTTGGCCCTTGAACTTCCATATAAATTTTAGAATCAGCTTGTTGACCACAAAAAATAGCTTGCTAAATGGGCACTGTGATGCATACCTGTAATCCCGTGACTCAGGAGGCTGAGACAGGAGGATCACAAATTCAAGGCCAGCATCAGCAATTTAGCAAGGCCCTAAACAACTTAGTGAACCCTGTCTCAAAATGAAAGGGCTGAAGATGTAGCTCAGTGGTAAAATGGCCCTGGGTTCAATCCCTAGTACCAAAAAAGAAAAAGAAAACTTGCTATGGATGACTTTGGAAGAGTTGACATCTTTACCATATAGAATCTTCCATGAACATAGTATACTCTTCCATGTAATTCTATTTTCTTTGATTTCTTTCAATAACGTGTTGTAGTTTTCAAAGTAGAGATCCAGCGTAGCATTTGTTAACTTCATTCCTGGGGTATGGTATATTTTTAATGTAAAAGTAGTATAAGAATAGACAAGTAGACCAATGGAGGGAAGTCCTAGGCTATTCTAGGCTGTTAGAAATAATTTAGATCTTAATCTGGGGGTTGCTTACACAGATGTATGCAATTGTCAGAACTAATTGACCTCTACTCTTAGTGTACCTTGTTCACTTTATGTATATTTTACCACAACTAACCAGTATTAAAAAGAAAAATATGTCAAAGACATAGACGGATAATTCAAATAGTAGAAACGCATTAATAAAAATGAAAAATTTAACAACAAGTTAGAACTTTTTTGGTCAAATTAGCAGTTTTCCTCCTCTGATGCTCTCACTTTCTTGACCCAAACAAGCTCAGTCCAGGTACCTATACCCATCCTCCAGCGCCTTTCAAGTTCCTCATGTGACTTGACAGCACCAATTGGGGTGGCATTATTCTTTTCATACTTTACAGGAAAAGAAACTCTGCCCAGAGAAGACAGCCCCATACTTAAGGAGGCCCAGGGAGACAAAGGGAAGAAGGAATTTGAACCCAGGTCAGCCTCCTTCCTAGGCCCACGCCCCAAGCCCATGTACGTGAGTACTTTTATTATCATATCACAACCAAGACCACCAAAATGTTGCTATAAACTCTTAAGCCTCAGTGCAGCAGGCCTCCTTCAAGATAAATACAATCTACTTGGAATGCACCAACTTTATTGAAAAATATTATAGAAATCAAAGCATTTTGCACTACTTTATTCATTATTTTTATGGTACTCCAGGATTTTTGTGGGATTTGTTTTTCATTTCACTTCTGTAAGCCTGCCAATGCTTTAAAGGAATATTTCAATTGGAGGGGGAACAAAAACCAGTTTTCCTAGCAAAAACTCAACAATGTTTTCCATCCTTCTTTCATTTGTTTTTGGGAAATTCTTCCCTACTACTCCCCCATCCATCCCTCCTCCCCAACTCCCATAAAGTGCAAATTTAATACTCAAGCTACTGTTTAAATGGCCCCTAATGTTCAAAAGAAATTAAATTTGCGGTTGCGAAGTTGTGAGACAGTGATTATGTGACCCACCTGAGAAGTCACAAATCATCCTGATACAAAGGCAACCAAAGCCCAAATGCTGCAGACCCCAGGCAGTCTGTGTCACCTTGCGAGCTGATGAACAGTCCCAGGGAATGGCAGAGAACGGGAATTTCAATGGCTTCCATTACTGCCTGCCCTGGAGAAGTTTGCAGTCCAGATTTGGTTGCAGAGAGGTAGGTTCAGAAAGTGAATTTCATTCTGCTGAGCCCAGCAACCCTACCATGCTGTGGCTGAAGTGTAGGGATGTTCTGTGGTGGCCTGGGGAGGGCAGGAGAAGGGTTGCAGATGCTCCACCCACAACCTGCACCCCTCTAACCTCAGTAGATCTACATTGGTCTGTTTCATATTCTTGGATTCCCTGCCAGTTTTATTTAGGATAAAAGTCAAGGTGGCTCCAAAAAAAGTTTGGAAAAAAAAAAAAAAGCCTGTTTTAATACAACTGAGACAGAGAGCACTCAGAGACAGCTTCATTCTCATCAGAATACTAAAAGAGTGGATGCATTTTCAAACTAAAAGGGTCCAGAACCATCCTCCTTGTCTAAAATCCTGCTTTAACAGCTGAGGAAATTCTACACCAGACCAAGGAAGAACCATGCTCAGTGTCACGGAGCTGTTCCCAGCGAGCGCCACTGCAAAAATCAGCAAGACTCAGCCAGCGGGTCCACTACACCAACTTCCCCGCACAGATTGGCTCATTCCGTCCATTTGCACATTCAAGTGTGAATTCACCCACCAGCTGCTTCCACTGACATCAGACATGAAACTGTGGGTTTCGTAAGTTGAGAAACTGAAAAGTCTCGGTTGTTTTCCTTTTCTTATTTTTCAGGATTACTTCTGTCATACTAAACTTTGTCATCTGTATAACAGGTATTTGCCCCCCCCCCAAAAAAAAGGAGGTGGAGGAGCAAGAGAAAGAGGAAGAGGAAGAGGAGGGGTGGGGGAGAGAAGAAGAAAAAGAGGAGGAGGAGGAGGATAGGGGAGGAAGAGGAGAACTGGAAGAAGAGGAGAAGGAGAGAAGGAACCATTCCACAGAAAGAACAACAGGAAGGATAAGAATAAAAAAGACTTGAAGTTTGATTGGCACCAGCTCATGACACAGCTCCACTATTGATTCCATGCCTGCTCCATGTCATCTTCTTCCTATGCTAACACCCCATCTCAGTTAATCCTTACTATAACCTTTTCCCTGGTCACAGAGGAGGAAAAGCCAAGATTCCCCAGGTACAGGAGGTGACCATAGTTACAGATGGAAATTCCTGCAAATGGCAAATCCCCTTCGGTGATTCCAGCATGTCCAAGGCTCCCCAGCTCCCTAAATCTTACCCATCAAGCCCCTGACTTGGGTACCTCAGTCTCATGACTAGAGAGGCCAGTAGTCAATAAACCAGAAAGAACAAACAGCAAAGGAAAGCAAAGAAGAAAATCACAGACCATGTCTCATGCTGGGAAAGACCAAACCAAGGGAGGTGATCTTAGGGGGATGTCTTCCCAGGGTGCAAGTTCAGATTCTTGAAGGGATTTGCACAAACAAGGGAGCCCAACCTCACCGCCCTAGTCCTTACCCTAGAGGGGCTTGGGAACCCCCTGGTCCTCTGCTGGGGGCTCCTCCGGGCAGGAGCTGCCACTAGTCTTCCAGTGGTCCTATGTGTCCCTGGAAACCTGACCTTCCCTTCTCCAAGCTGCAAATGCAGCAAACAAACAAAACCCTCCCACCTCCTCTGGCGGTGCCAGAAACATCCCCCGGGAGTCAGGCAAGCTCCTCTGGTCTCTACTGCCATCATTCTGAGCCTGGGTGTCATCATGAAGCCCCCTCCACCAGATCGCAGCCCTGAGGGGAAAGCAGCTGGAGTGGTGCAAAGGTTCTTCTAAGCCTGTGGCTCGGTTCCAAGCGGCTGGTTGATGACACCCATTGCAATGACCTTGATGAAGTGCAGGAAAATGGGTCACTCCCCGAATTGCAGAGTCTGCCAAAAATAGGTATGTGACATCACTGCCCGGACCGCTTACTCAAGCAGGTGTGCAATGGGGGCTTTTCTGAGTAATCTGTCAGCTGAAAAATGAGGCCGCCATTCGGGGAGCCCTCATTAGTTTAGAATAACAGCCAGTGCGTGTTCCGCCAAAGCCTGTGCCAGGAACTGTTCTCGGCCCTTGTCCACATTAACTCATCAATTCTCACAACTCGACAGAGGAGGATGTTTTATTGTCATCATCTTTTAGAATGAGGAAACCAACGCACACTTACTGAGGTCATCCAGCTCAAAAGGAGGAGGGACTGGATTCAAGGTCCCAGAGGCTCACCCTGCTGGGACTCATTCACAGTCATATGAGAAGGTCCTCAGCCTGTTCCTCCTGCAAAAATCAGAACCTTAAATCCAGCTGTCACTATGGGTCAACAAGGAAAACTGGAAATGGTGGAGATGACATTAGCAGGTTATTTTCAGTTTCTAGTTTCACTTTTGTAAAAATCATACAGTGCAAAGATTAGTTGGGGGCTGGACGTGGGAGCAGAGATTAGGCAATTTTTCCTCTTTTTTTTTTTCTCAATACTGGGAATCAAACTCAAGTGCACTTTAGCACTGAGCTACATCACCAGTGCACACAGAGACTCCTGGGTGCTTACGTTCAAAAGGGACCTTGGGATGACCTAGCTTGGTGCTGTCCAGTAGATAGAAAACATGAGCCACACATTCTATTTAAGATACAGTGTCATTTTCCATTTTCTAATACCCAGGGGACTGAGAGGAGGAAGAAGAGGAAGAGGAAGAGGAAGGAAGGAAGGAAGGGAGGAGCTAAATTTATTCACACATTTTATTTAGCTCAACATATCTAAAATATTACCATTTCAGCACGCAGTCATTATAAAAATTGAGATAGTCTCCCTTCTTTTTGTTATACGACATGTTGTCTATTTTACATTCAGTGACCATCTCAATTTGGACTCATTCAGCTGCTTTGTTCAAGGTCACCTGAGTGGAGTGGCCACCTTGTAAGACAACAAAGACCAAATACCTGGTTCCTCCTGATGGATGATCACAGACCTTCTCTAGCAAGCCCGGGGAGTCACCAGGTCCCTGCCACTCCTGTGTGGCCAATTCACCAGCCATCCCTGGAGCTTGTTAGAAATGAAGATCCCTCCCACCCTCTACACACACACACACACACACACACACACACACTCAGGACTTATTTCAACCAGAATCTGAATTTCAACACCATCCCCAGGTGAATCACCTGCCTCTGAAACTCAGAGGTCCCTGTGGCCTCCTCTTAAGTCCTTCAAGTGCTAGAGCACCCAGCATCCCATCCCCAGGGAAGCTCCCGTCTTCCTGAATTGGTTCTCACTAGTATAAAAACACTTCCCCCTCCCTGGCCATGAGCCTAGCAGGTGCAAAGACAGTCTGGCAGTGACCTCATCCAAGCCCTGCACAGCCTGGGGCACAGAGCTCATTGGGCGGCTTTTACAGATGTGGAAACCGAGGTCCCACCAACCTAGAACACTTGCCCCGATCAAGCAGCAGGCCGCCTTCCACCAGTTCCCTCCCTCTTCCTGGGCCTGCCAGACCTGCTGGCTGCTTCCACCCCAGGCTGGAGGTCATCCAGAGCCAGGTCACGCTCAGCTCTGCAGCATGGTGTTGCTGGTGCTCTGTGGAGAGGGTCCTCAGAGCCGTGGCCCTACACTGAGTGGCTCTCACTCATGACTGACTTCACTTCTCTCCTTGACTTGCTTTCCATATTCCATTGATGGCTGAACACCCTCTGTGAGTGCCTGCGTGCTCAGCACCCACTTCCTCCTCAAGGTTTGGAACAAGTCTAGAAATTGGCAACTAAGCAAACAGGCAGAAATGAAGGAAAGCCTATAATGTCATTATGCAGCTCAAAGATTCCCGATTTCCAATTAAAAACAGGGTGTGGGTAGAAAACTCAGGTAAGGAACACATGTTAAGTGAGGAACCCTATTATAGGAGATTCATCCACAGGGAGTGACATGGAGGAAGATACCGAATAGGCAGGACAATGTCACAAGATAGCAAAGCCATGGAAAGCAACAGAACAGCCAGGTGGAAGTCAAAGTAAAGAGAAGCTAGTGAGCTTGAAAGGATTTTACTCTATCACTGTTCAGAGTTAGTAAACCCCCTGTGTTGGTCATCTTTGCATGACTATAACAAATACCTGAGAGGATAAACTTATGAAGAGGAAAGGTTTACTTTGGCTCCCAGTTTGGAAGGGTCTCAGTCCATGATTGGGCAAGCCTATTGCTTTTAAGCATCTGGTGGAGCTGCTTCCATCATGGCTGAGAAGTGAAAGAGAGGAAGAGGAAGAGCTAGGGATCCCACAGTCCCCTTTGAGGGCCTGCGCCCAGTCACCTAAAACCTCCCACCAGTCCCCACCTCTTAAAGTCTCTACCACCACCCAAGGCTCCCATTGCAGATCTAAACCACAGTGTCCCCAGGAAACCAGATGGATACTTCTTTTCATCTGCTGTTCCGTTAGCATCATGATCTATGTGGTATTTAAATTATCATTTTGGAAATGAACACTATTCTCAGTTCAAAGGAAATTCTCTTGTCTTCAGTAGTAATAGAAATCACTGCACAAGGCACTACTTGTGGCAAATAATTTTGTTGTTTCTTTTTTAAATGACCACCATATTATTATCCTACGTCCCAAGAAATCAAGAATGACTGTAGGGAGGTGAACCGTGCAAGGGGGCAAAAGGAGGAAAGGAATAAATGGGAAAGAGTAAGTTAGAAGAAAGGAAAGTGGGTAGTCCCAGCCCAAAGCCCTGCCTGCCCAAACCACATCAAACGCCTTCCTGCCCATTTGACTCTAAGTTAAATGAAATGCTTGGGCTGATTTTTCTCCCAAGTTAGAAAATAAATTCAGATGATCACACTTAAAATATATATAGACCATGATATTCACTTGGGGGGACCCAGGAGATCCCAGAGAATTAGACAGTCCTTCTGAGCAGCTAGCTGTTTGTGAGAACGTCTTTCCCACTAGCATTTGATAAAGAAATGCCAAGTGGATGAAGTGGCCACAAACAGAGAAACCAAGTGATAGTTTCCAGTGTGAAACCAGACTGAAAGTCCGACAGCCACTCACCTGAATTGCTGCCCGGGATCCCGATATTCCAGACATGGGCACCTCTGCATGCTGCAGGCGCTGGTTGATGTAAGATGGTCAACAACTCTCCAGGCCACTCCAGCACCAGAGCTGCTTGTGAAATACAACCCAAACTCTGTTCCTGGCACTTTCTGAGGAAGCTCAAACCCCATGTCCACTGTGGCTTCTGTCATTCATCAGAGTTCTGTGTCCACATAGGGCCGTGACCACCAGCATGAGTGAGATGGCAGCCTGCAGGAAGACATATCTGGCTAGTCCCCTGCAGACCCTTCAGGGCAGAACCAACCTTGTCACCCTCGTATCCCCAAGGCCGGAGTCAATGCCTGACTCACAGTACAAATTTGTCAAGTGACCAACTGAACAGCCGTCCTCGGAGGCGTGGCTCCACCTTCCAGAGCCCTCATTCCCCAGCAGGGCCCTCCTAGGGCTGACATTTATTGGTGGTTCACTGTCCCAGACACTCGCTAAAGGCTCCACCAACATTACCCCACTGCACCCCAACAGCATCGTGACAGTGACCTTTATTTCTATCCTACACACAAGGGGGGGGTGCAAAAAGGTGTAGCCACACGTCTGACAGCTCCACCCGCAGGTGGCAGAGCCAGGACTTGGACCAGGTCTGTCAGCCTCCTTGTTTCCAACCACAGGGTGAGGCCTCATTTGTCTTTCACCCCATGCACCCAGGAGCCCACAGAGCCCAACATGGCCCCTTCTCAGACAGTCAGGAAAGGAAGGTCACTCTGCAGCACGGGTGGCCACCACCCCGCTGCAGCTTCATCCAGGGCCTGACACGTTCACATACTCTGTGGATGGAAAGCTTTGGGGGAGGATGGGCCCTGGCCAGGCATTGGAGATACAAGGGGAGCAGTTGGTGGCTCCTGCTCTCCAGGGCTGGTGGAGGGTGCTGCTGGACGGACTGACCAGGTCAACACAACATGGCATTGAAACAGACTTTACTGAACCTGCCCAGGTGACAGGGCAGAACCAACCTGGTGTGGAGACCTCAAAGACCCTGTCTACTATCAACAATCTGGAAGCTGGACAGTCCACACTTGGGTCCAAATGCATAGTCGAGACCAAATGTGTTGGGGGGCGGGGGGTGAGATCATCTCAAGTCAAGGCCATTGTTACCTCCAAGAGATGAAGGCAAAACAACCCTGGCAGATGCACCCTGAGTGTCCCTAACATTCCTAAGTATTTAATTCTTGGTTTGTTCCCTGGGGAAGGTTATTTAGGAGGACTAGAATGGGAATGCTCACCGTGACCCTTGGGTCCAGCAGCCCTGGCCTGTGGATCCTGTGGCCACCTGCAAGCACCCGCAGTCCTACTTTGGTTAGAAAACCTCAGGAGACTCTCCTGGTCAAGGAAGCACAGAACAGGAGCCTGGTTAGGGACAGGGTTGTGATGGCTCAGGGAGGTTAAACAAGTGTCCTGGACATGGCCGTGACTCGCAACAGCACCCCTGAGCCACTAATGCTCCAAAGGGTGACTCCTAGTGAAATTAGCCTGGAGATCTTCCTCCAGAAGGGCCACCCGGCCTCACCCACTTCTCAGAGCCCTGGCCAGTGCTCTGGGGAACCAGGCTCCACCGAACCAATTTTCCAAAGCAGTGTGTAATTAATGCCTCCCAGATGCAATCCTCTCGTTGCCAGGAAGAAGACAACAGAAGCAATCCTGCGACCATCTCACACCTTGAGCATAGCAAATTCATTGTTAGCCAGCTCCAGTGAAGTGCCCTGATACAAGCCACCGAGGCCACTGTCTTACAGGACAGTGTGTTAAAGCCCCCTTGAGCACGTTTGTGCTTTTCAAAATGCAGACGAGTCAAGATAGAGTTTGCTGGAAACATTATTACTACTAATAAAACAGTTGGCTTTTTTTCTGAGGAATTTCTGCAAGAGAGTAGCTGGTTTAGTCTGTACATCTCCAGCACAGAGTCTCCTAAGCATAATGTTGTTTCTACATGGCTCATAGATTTATTCACTTACTCACCAGTTATTTATTAAACACCTACTACACGCAAGATACTCAGGAGACGCTGGAGAAAAAGACAAAGTCCTGCCCTTGTGGAGCTTACATTCCTGTGGAGAAGACAGACATTATAAAATAATGACACATCCATTAAATAGGGTTTATAATAAACACGGTGCAAAGCACAGAATGGAAGAAAGAGACTAATATTGAAAGAAAGGTAGAGTTTGGGTTCAAGCTCAAGAAGAACCTCCTCTCAAACCTCCATACTGCTTTTAGGAAGAAACCAGCCTCACGAAAGACAGGGGAAGAGCTTCACCTTTTCAGCATGAGAAATAGCTCCGACAAATGTCCTGGGGCAGGACAAAGCACAACTGAATTAGAGACACTGAGAGAAGCAGTGGAGCTGGCTTGTGGTGAATGAGAGGGAAGGACTAGAGGGGTGGGCAGGGCCATGTCAGTTGCCCCTGCTCTAAAAGTGGCCTTTTGTCTCCAATCTCCTGCCTGACTTCACTCAGCAACTCACAGCAACAGACCAGTGCCCCACACTCCCCCTCTGCCCCATTCAGCATCGGCCTGAAGAAAACCCAGCACACTCTGACCACCCTCTGCTGTTCCAGCAGCTGCCACAGCCATGAACCAGGCTCAGTAAGCGTGTGGGTGATGTCCCCCAGCGAGTGTGCTCTTCCCACCCCATCAGCCAGCCGGGTGGCTGCGCTCAGCGAGCTACGCGGTCGTTGATGATAATTGTTGCATTAATTGGTGCTGTCCGGACCAGACAGAACGCAAAAGATCCCACTGTGTCCAATAATTAATGTTTTTCCCTCACTGCAACGCCATTAATAAGGGACTCTTCCAAGAATCGAGTAATTGGCTGGCTGGGTGTCATTAGGGTATTTATAGGTAAGCTTTGGTCTGGAGGCGTAGAGGAAAGCTGATGATGTTTATTTAGACTCTATTATCTATCGCTAATGTGTTCCCCCGCGTTCCCATCGTCCTGTTCTCTGGGTCATAATGATCCAGGGCACACTCGCATCATGAGGTCAGTGACCTACAAGGCACCCATCTCTGGGTGGCAGGGGAGAGGGGAGGACACAGGGGGCTTTTACAGGTCCCCGTGCTCCCTCTCCTTCGCGGGAAACCTTCCCTTCCTCCTTCCTCTGAGAAATTTAGAGCAGGCTCTCGGAAGTACCAGAAAGACAGTTTCTCCTAATTAAACCTCAGAGGAGTGGAAGTTTCTTGGGTTTGTGATTATCTGAAGGGTTTTTGAAAATGTAAATCCGGTTGGGGGAGCGTGGCTTTGAAAAACACAGGGAGGAAGAGCTGCTGGATTTGAGCGCACCTCACAGCGACAGCCAGAGAGGACCCCAAATCCATCAAGTCAGGGGAAATAGCGTCTCACTGCACCAGGGGACATGAGGCTGGGCCGTCCTCACCCAGGCTGTGCACACAGCCGCACGTGGGGCGATTTCTCTCCCCAAAGACTCCGGTCCAGTTGCATTTTGCCAGAATTTTCAGAATCCATTTCTTATGCTTAAAATAAAAGTATAGATGTGTGTGACAGTGTGGATGTACTACTAAATGACACCAGATTGCACTTAAAAATGGTTAAAATGACAAGTTTATGCTATGTCTATTTCACCACCATAAAAAAAAAATCCAAGGGCAATAAGTAGAATAGTACAATTTATAAGGAGGATTTAATAGTCATAAGGATAAAATAGGGTTTTGACTTTATAACTGTAGTGTATCTAATATTAATTTTAGAAACCACATACACTTTTTATTTATCTTATTTTTTTTTAATACCGAGGATTTAACCTGGGGTGCTTTACCACTGAGCTACATCCCTACCCCTTTTTATTATTTATTTATTTATTTTGTATTTTGAGACAGGATCTCACTAAGTTATTGCTTAGGACCTTGCTAAGTTTCCGAGGCTGGTTTTGAACTTGTGATCCTCCTGTCTCAGCCTTCCAAGCCACTGGGATTACTGATGTACCCCACGACACCCAGTTGAAACCAAGTAAACTGCTAAATCCTCACTTCAGGGCAAAAAATCACCCTCAGATTAATTTTTAAAGATGCTTTAATTGGTAACAGTCATCCAACAAAATTATGTTGTCAACTAATGAGTTGGGTCACTGTGGTCATACCGTAGAGTGACATCAACCTTATCCATGTCTACCACTCGCCACTCAATTTACTCTGGACATTTTTGGGCAGGGTTCCTTCTCCCTGGGCCAGCGACTGTCCCTAGCTGAACTCCTAAATGTGTTCCTCTGCTCTTCCTGTCACTCTGAAGAAATGAAGTCAGACCATGGGACGATTTTGTGGAAAGCCCCGCTGGGTGAGCGTGTGCGTGTGTGCTTTACACAGTCAACCCCACTCACATCTCTTACTGCACTGGGTGATGGGGAAAATGGGATTGGGAGTCTGGACATTTGAGTTCAAGGTCAGGCTGGGCCCCAGGTCACACAGCGAAAGAGGAGGGCATAGGAGCCCTGGGCGCACTTCATAGGGCTGGTCTTGGAACCAAATGGGACAAGATCAGTGCAGGTAGGGGGCCAAGGTCCATCACAAATCCATCCACAAATCCATCCATTTGTGGAGGAATGTGTTGGCCTCCTACTTGCGAATGTGTCCAGCCAGCACTGTCCCTGCAGCCTCCCTGTCTTCTCTGTGAAGGACACACTCAGGGTCCTTGTCTTGTCAGATGACTTGTCTCTGGTTTGGAAATACTCTCCCCTCGGTGGACCTGTGCGCCAACGTGTGATGTAACTTTGCAGATTAAGTGTGTAATGCTTTTAGGAAAACGGTGCCATTTTCTCCTCTGCTCCCCGCCACTGGGACCAGGTAATTTGTGGGCACATCTGTCGTGGTGTTGAGAATGCTCTCAGAGATATTCTTAGCTCCTGGCTCGGGGTCTAGAGGTCGAGAGGCTGCCTCCTGGGAGACAGAGATACCTGTAGCTGTGGGAGGGTCTCAAAGGACCAAGTGGAAAATCTGTCACCAGGGCCAGTGGCTGAAGTTTAGTGGGTAGATCAGTAAGAAAGAAAGAAAGCAATAGAACGGGCTGCTGTGGGGACAGCTGACAGAGGCAGGCTCAGCCCCGCACAGCCTTAGTTACCAGGGAGCACCGGGCCCAGCAAAGAACTTGACCCCCTCAGCCTCAGCCACCTCCTTTGAAAGGGAAGGAATAGACCTCCCCAGGTGGCTCACCAGGTGGTTGTGGCATTGGCACTTTCACTTACAGAAGGCCTGCAGGGGGGCCAGCATGGTGCCCCTACAGGAGGGAGAAAGATGGAGGCCCCTGGGCAGGGGAATTCTCCTACAGGAGCCACCAGTGAGCAGAGCCAACAGCCAGGAGCTCCCGGGGGTCAGGCCTCAGTGAGTGCCACAGCCACCGTCCTGACAAACAACCAGTGTGTTGTGTTGGAGACGCAAATACCAAGAGTGGTGTTGCCAAGGGTGACGTGATTTTCCCAACTCGGTGAGCACGGCTCCAGAACGCTCCCAACAAAGCCAGAGGATCTTGCTTCGCGGACACGGCTGTCGCATTCCCAGACAGTTCCAGGTAGAACTGAGACGGGCTTAAATGGCTTTCTGTTTATGTGACTAAGAGAGTTAAGTCCAGACTCAGATCATTAGGGATCGGCCTTTCACCTGCGTGCACACGCTCCAGGACACGCCCCAGTGGCCCAGGACAGCGCCGTGTGAGCCCTGCTCCCTGTCCCCACCCAAACATGCCAACCCACCCCAGAAGGGAATTTTCTTGCTGCCATGGTTTCAGTGTGTCTCTGGGGGACACTTTCTTTATTTATTTATTTATTTATTTTTGTTTTTCTAGTTTATCAGAAACTCAAAGCCAACCCACAGCTCACCGCCTGCCAGCAAGTGTCACCTCAACCCTTCTGCGGCCTTGTTTCCTCTGCCCCTGGACTTCTTGGCTGATTTGGAGGCTGTCGAGATGGCTGTATCTTGAAATCCTTTCAAGGTGAAGTCAGGTGTCCTGAGTATGTTTTAAAATAAATAAATACATAAAACAGCTGTGGGCTGTTCTCCCTGTCTCCCCACCCCCTCAAACCCTGACCACATTTTATTAATAGCAAGTTAATTCTTTTGAAAATTAACTTCAACCACCCAGCTTATTAGCATTTCATAAACAAGGCCCGTATATGTCTTCCAAAGAGGAGTAAAATGGACAAATGAACTGCTTGACCCAGGGATAACCTGTGTCATGAAAAGATTCCTGCAGGAAGCCATGCCTTGCTGCCTCCACCCAGCTCTGAGTTAAGGGTGCTCCCGGGTCAGCCCACAGCTCCTCCAGGCACACGAGGGATCAGGGGGCACGGCCAGACCTGATGAGGATCAGAGATGAAAAAGTGCTCCAAGGGCTACTCCAGGTGGGGCAGTGAGAGCCAGGGTTTGGGACTGGAGAACCCCTTGCTCGTTCCCCTGTGTGGGGGCCACTCAGTCGGTGGACAACCTTTGGGGTCGGGCCCTGCTAAGCCCTGGGCCAGCAGGTGAGCGATGACACGAAAGTCGTTGCCGTCACAGGCCTGTCCTTACCCTGGGGGCCACAACACATAAGGGAGCCACCGAGCAAAGGAGATTGCTCCAACCTTCCTAAGATGACAGAGCAGGGGCAGAGGTGGCGGGGAAGTCCCATCTGAGAAGACGGCGTCCAAGCTGGCATGAGAAGGAGCGCAGGCCACAGGCACAGCAGCAAGGCCAAGAGCAGGGAGACGCTGGGGGTCAGAAGACAGGTGTGCAGAGGCCAGAGAGGCTCCCTCTGGCCTCCCCCAGGAGGACTGTGGTGGAGAGTCCTCAGGGAGCTCAGAGCCCAGAAAATGGGGCGCAAGGATGAGACAGAGTCACTCCCCTCCCAGAACACAGATCCCAGCGGCGGGGAGTTGAAAACCAAGAACAAACGGGGGGGGCTAAAGTGAAGCCAGAGACTCCCTTCCCTGCCCTCCTGCAGGGGGGCATCATGGCCTCGCAGACCCCCAAGGGCCCAGGTCCCCCAGAAAGGCCAGCCTGGGGGCACTGCCCCTTCACTGTGCCACCCAGAGGCCACGGGGTCACGCTGAGGAGCACCACGATCTTCAATAGCTGGCAACCAAAGCTCTGGGTCTCTGCATTTATCTGGAGGTGATGCCATTCCAGGCCACCTAGACGATTCTATGTGACCAGTGAGTGGGTGACGCTTTCAAACCCCCAGGAAACAGCTCCCCGTGCCAGCAGTGTCAGGTCCCTCGGAGGCCTGCTGGGGACGGCTGGGGACTGGGAGCACGCGGCGACAGGCGGGGAGGACACAAACGCTGCCTCGCCACCTTTTTAATGAGTCAAATCCTCTGCTGCTGCCATGGCCCTCAGAGACCAGCTATTAATGAGCGCTTGGAATAGACTGTGCCTGTTTTATACGTGTACGGTGGCCTGGGAGAGACACTTCAATTTCCATTTTACATCTGCTGCCATGTTCAAGTGTCTCCTTAAGGGCAGGAAAACACTTTGCAAATTTTGTCTTTAAAGAGACACGTTCAAAGGCGGCATCGCCCTTCCCACAGCCACGTTCTATATGTGAGCACTTTTCAATTTTCAAAGTATATATTTAGATTGTGTGTGTCAGAACCTCAGAGACGCTGCAGGCCACGGGCCTCTGCACGCGCAGGTTCCTGCTGTCTCAGGGGCTGTGGGGAGAGGGCTTTCCAGTTTTGTCCCCAGAGTCTGTGGCTTCACTGACTGGGACAGGGAGATGCAGGGGCTGGGGACGGGGGCAGCCCCTGCTGGGGTCCTAGTTACAAACCGAGGTCCACAGCCATGGGGGTCCTACCCTGATGGGACCACAATTTCCACAGATTCCACCAGTATCCTGTGAGCAGAGATGCCTGGGAAGGGAGGCGGGACCCAGGGGAGAGGCCAGGCCTCCTAATGAGCATGGTGAGGCCTGACAGGGTGTATGACTGGCGGCTGGGGCCCACAAGGCGGTCAGAGGAGGGGGCTACATTCAGGCTGCAATCTCCAAAGTTTAGAGGAGGCTCCTGAGTGGAGGAGAAAGAAAAAGGAGGTGCAGTTACTAAGAAAGGACTTGAGAGAGAGGCCTGCTTGAAGGGTTCCATGATGCCCTGTTGTTCCAAGGGACCACCCTCTCCAATGGGGAGAGAGGGTAGAGAAAGCAGATGGTATGGTGGGAACTGGGTTCTGGCATTGAGCAGCTGTGTGATCTTGGGCAAGTTGCTCAGCCTTTCTGAGCCTCCACTTTTCATCTGTAAAACAGGATTGTCATCCACCTCTCTTGCAGGGTTTCTGTGAGAATGACAGGACATGTAGAGCCCGGTGCTCAGGAGACGCGTGTCGGTGGGATCTACGTTTGTTTCTAGAGCCCAATAATCATCAGAGAATCCTCTGGAACAGGAAACCCACCCTTTGATCAGCCCCAGCCAACCTGCAGGACACGAGTGTTATGAGCAGAAGAAATCCAGAGAAGTAAAATCAACCCGTGTTTGGAGAGGGGACAGCGCAGGGCGACCGTCGCTGGCCAGGTGAATTACCCTGGATTTCATCACCGTTGCCATCTCCAGAGCAAACAGCTCAGAAAGCACAGAGGTTCCACCCTAAGCCAGTGGCGCCCCAGGGCACTGCCAATTACCTCCAAGGGTGTTGGGAACCCTCTCCACGTCTAACCCGAGTCTTCTCTAACTGAGCGCTGCCATCCCCAGCCGTCATCACGGGGGCAAGTGGAGAAGGTGGTGAGAATCACACCAAGGCAGACTGCCCACTGCCCCCCAGTGCCTGCTGTCCCTCTTCCCCACTCCTGAGCCTGTGTCCTAGACGCAGCTGTGCCCAGTTAAAGATTCTACTGCCTGTCCCCTCTCACAGCCAGGTGTGGGCCCATGACCAAGTTCTGGCCAATAAGGTGAGAGAAACTAGTCCCAAAGACTTCTAGGAAGGTTCTTTGGAAGAGAGGAAATGATAACTGGAGGAGGCCCCTTCTTCCTACCTGTGGCTTGGGATGTGGACATGATGGCTAGAGCTGCAGCAGGCATCTTGAAGTGCCGAGGGCAGAAGCCCTATAGGGAATGGCAGAGCATAAGAGAGCATGGGCCCTGGATAATTGTGAGGCCACCACACAGCCTCTCCAGGACTTCTCCAACACCAGAGAACCCTTTACACATTTAAGACACTTTTATTCTGGTTCGCTATTAGGTGCCACTGAAGTTAATCCACACTTCATTTCTAGAAGCTGGCGGCTGTGTAAAAGCGGAGGTCTGGTCCCTGCCACCTGTCCTGGCAACCAAGGGGGCAGAATGGCATGGTGCAGTGGGAGGTGAACAGCAGCTTCCAGCTCGTGCCCACCAATCTTGGCTAGTGTAGGCCCCAGGGAGTAACCCATCTCTCCCCGTCTCACCTGGTAGCAACTTGCACATCTTTGGGCCTAAAGCCAAAATCTCAGGGTGGAGGGAGACACCACAGGAAAAAGTAACCAGTCAAAATGGAGCCGGGTTCAAGTTCACCCTGACTCTCACCAGCTCTAGGGCTGGGTGATATCAGTGAGGTCCCTGGAATCAGTCCTCCAAAATGGTAGCTGTTATTGCTGGGGATCAGTTGTGGACTCCGGTTATTATTTCCGGAGAGAGGTCTTGAGGCAAAGTAACTCTTCTCTCTGCAAATGCAGGAGGGAGCAAGACTTTGGCCAAATGTCCAAATGTCTGTTTCTTCCAGGTAACGCAGATCAGCTCCAATACCTCCCGAGTCCATTCCCAACTGTCTGAGAGCTGGAAAGAGGGCGGGGTGGGGAAAGGGGAGACCCAGGCGCTCTCACTGGCTTCCCCACTAATTGGCTGTGTGACCTCAGGCAAGTCACTCCCTCTTTCTGAGCCTCGGTCCACCCACCCACCACCCCTATAAAGAGGATGCCAGCCTCCATCTCTAGGGCCCCTTTCAGCATCAAAAGTGCAGGATTCCATGAGTCCCAGGAGCCAAGAGAATCGGGATTGAAGGGGTCGGTCCACCTGCTGCCACTTTTACCTGCTGCCAATCTTGTGCCCCACTTCCTCACTCCTGCCAGTCACCCTCAAATTTTCTTTCCTATCATATGGAGGAGATGGTTCCAAAAGAAAAATCATTTCTGCAATCAATGAGGTGGGCCTAAGAACTGGGGCAGGAAGAGATTTAAGAGTTTGTTTCACTCTATGCAAATTCAATGTAAATAATTAGATGGGATACATTGGAAGATGGTTGGTTTATAACAGAATCATCTAGAAACAAATAAACAAGCTCTCCTGAGAGTGCTACATTGATGGTGGAAAGGAGATTATGCCTAGACCTTGGCTACTTGAACCTCCAGGTCAATGTTCACCTCCAGAGGAGTCCCAATATGTGGGCTGTCCCACCCTCGTCTGGCCAACGAGGTAGAGGGACCGAGAAGTTAGACCTTTTGCTAAAATTGGTAAATGAGTAAAGTGGGATTAGAATCTATATCTAATCTAGGTTGTCACCACTGTTATTTTGAGACCTGAAAGAAAAACAGCTCAATGGGATGATGCGAGGCCAGGTGTTAGAGCAGGATATCACGCCAGAACCCTCGCATGTGACCCCGGGGGCAGCCACAGAATCCCCCTTTGTCCATGTTTTCCCACATGTCAAAGTGGGTGCTGGAGAGATGGGAGCCCACACCTGCTGCTGAATCTGCCTCATTCCACTCAATATACCAGGGACACCCACGTGATAGCAGGTGACCATGGAAACCATGTCCTGGTACCTCCCCTACATGACAACGGGCACACCTTCTCCCTGGCAGAAAGCTAAGGATCTTGGTTCATGCACTGCCCTTCGCCGGCCCTCTCTATCTCCAGAACCATCTTCACTGGGTTTGCAAACCCAGGAGATCACTCACAAATCTGAACCAGCAACACCAACTGCTGGAGGTAAGTGAGGTCTCTCCCAAGGTCCCCCAACTCCATTCTAGAGACTCTCTCTCTCTCTGCCCAGTAATTTCTTAAGGAGGTGGGGGCCCTCCCTTGCGTTAACATCATCCTGCGTCGGCCATGGGGACACCAATCAATGTGAGTGCTCTAGGACATCCTGTAAGACTTCTGCAACATGCAGATGGCGTTGCTGCAAGCAAGTCAACAGAACAGCAATGACGCGTGAATGCTCTTGGATTCGCCAGTGGGTCTGATGCCCATGTGTTGCCAAAAGCATTTATTGTCTCATAATTTGATTTACTTTTTTTTCCGTGCGGCTCCCAGTGCCTGCAAGTAGGGGCAAAGTGGCTGAGGCCTGCAGATGCCACGAGGCTAATAAAGCTCGCTGTGCTCCCAGCATGCTCTCTGCTGTCAGAAACCGGCAATTAACTTAATAGGGTTCTTGAAATGGAGTGGATCCGGGAAATGTGGCATGTGTTGACACTCTCCCGCTGATCCAAGCAGCCTCCCACCATTGACTCGCAGGGTCTGTTTGCTATTTGAATTATTTAGGAGCTTGTTATGTGAATTAAAAAGCAGCACTTTGCAGCATTAAGTCTAATATTTTATGATCTTCAATTGATTAGGTGGGCTTTCAGGATTACACGGAAAGGTTAAGATAAAATGCGCCTCAGACAGCTCTCGCCAGTCCGCTCTGCTTTTTGAAGACCCGGATGAAAACCCACAAGGAACCTGCCTCCCTCTGCCCTTCCAAGAGAAGCTTCTGGAACCTGTTTTCAGACCAGTGGAGAGCTTGTCCACCCAGAGGACACAGGCGCCCTGGCTTCTCAGGACCCAGAGAGGCTGGTCCCCCATTTCTCTTTCTTTTGTCTCTTTCTTGGCACAAAGATGTCACCAGTGATGTGGTGCCCAGAAGGACCGCCTCCCAGGCCTGGGCCTGCAGAGGGAAGGCCTGTTGTCACTCCCAGCCGCCCACACGACCACGCAGCTCTTGGCCAAGGGTGTGCACAGCACACGCCCACTGGCACCACCAGCTTTACACACCCACAGTCCAGAGGACCTCCCTCTCTTCAAGTGCCAATGCACAGTCTCCCTGGCCTCCCAGCTGCCACCAACCTCTCCCTTGGGGTCACAGACAACAGTTTTCTACAGGACTTCTCCCTTTCCAGTCTACCCTACATTTCAAGGTACAGATGCCATTTCAGCCAGCAGGGTCTTTCTAAAATGGCCCTGGCCACAACACACCGCTGTTCAAAAACTTTCAATGGCTCCCCCTTGCCTGTCAAGTGTGCATATGTATTCTCAGGGATGCCTTCTGAGAAGGGCATCACTAAGTAATTCTGTGATCATGAAAACATCGTAGGGTAGACAGCTGTGACATCACTTAGCAACGTGATCTTAAGAGACCACCGTCATACAGAGTGTCAATGACGGGAACATCATTGGTGACATGGGACGGTCCAGACTCCTCAGCCGGGCCCTGCCTCTCTTCCCAGCCTCATCTTCTGTCCACCCTGTGAGAACCAGCCAGGCTGAGCCACTGATTGTTCTCAAAACACAGATGAAAACCCTCAAGGAACCCGCCTCCCTTTGCCCTTCCGAGAGAATCTTCTGGAACCTGTTTTCAGACCAGCGGAGAGCTTGGTTTTCTCAACTCTGAAGCTTTGTTTGTGGTATTCACTGAAATTCTAGCAGTTCTTAATGATAAAAAGATTTTACTGTGCTTTACACATTTTATATATTATTACTTTATTATATTACCTTTTATTAATTTACTTACTCCTCCTAACAATCCTACAAGGTCGGTACCTTTGTTATCTCCACCTTAGAGCAGGCAGAATAGACTTAGAGAGGGCAGGTAACTTTCCAAGGTCACTCAGCCAGCAGGTATTCAAGTCCAAACAGACACAGTTCGTCTTGATTCCACTTCTCAGGTGAAACCACCTCTGCCCCTGCCCGTGGGGTCTCTCTTTCCTCTGAGGTAGACAGCGTGCTATAATGCATCGCAGTCTACGTTACCCCTTCCATGGCACGGATTTGGCGGGGATAGAGGCAGAGGTACAAAGCTCCTTTCTCTACCAGGATACCGTGCCGAGGGACTGACTGGGCCCCCCTGTGTGATGACAGGGCTTTTGACCAGAGTTTGCACATAGTAGGTGTTCATTCAAACATGTAATTCTGCTTGATTACAGGGAGGGCTCCCCCACCAAAATTTACCACAGACCTTGATGAAGTGGCAGAAGGTGGCCTGGCAAGGGCTGCTCCACAGGAAATGAAATTGAAATGGCACCCGGCCTCCATGTCTTTAAACGGTGAAAACTTGGGGAAAGGAGTTACCCTTGCAGAAACTTGGTTCCCACCCCCTATAAAATGGGGACGATAGTAGCCCCTGGTTCATAAGGAAATTATCAAAACTCAATGAAATAATTCATCTAAAGCACTCGGCATGCACGGCTCCAGCACGCAGCTGGGGACCCTGGACGCACGCCATTCTAGCCACTGCACTGCCCCCATCTTCACACCTCCACTGCGCATTGGGGACCTCAAATTATGGCAGTGGGGAGGAGCTCAGGAAATTGCAGAAGGCCCTGGGACAAAAGAGACATTCAATATATTAAAGCATTCCTTTCAATTAGTATAAACTTCACTGAAGCTGAAGACTTTTTTTTCTTTTTCCAGAATATCATGAGGATGGTCCCTGACCCCTGAAGTCTACTCTATGCCAAGCAAGCCATGTCTGCCTGACCCACCGCAGCCTCCAGGGGGACAAGGGAGTGATGAGCCGAGTCCCGGCCTCTAGGGAGCATTCTGTTTCATGGGGTAGCAGCAAGTAAAGAGCCGACCTCACCCAAGATAGGAGAACAAGGGCAGGCAGGGCTGGGGAGGGGGTCTGAGCCAAGCCTCAGGGCCCCACTGGGAGGATCTGCTGCCTGATCCTGTGGCCTGCCATGTACCAGATCTATCATATGTGCCAAGGATAAAAGCAAGCACTCTGGCAACCTCAGAATGGAGAAGAGAGTCTATGGGATTATCAATGCCTCTTAGGAGACCTCTGTCCTGAGACACAGGCTACCTCCAAAATGCCCTAGGTAAGGCTGTCTCAAGGACCTCTGCACTGCAGGGGGCCCAGAGGCCAAGAAGTTGCTCTGAGGAATTGTGTCAGCACAACCACTGACAGTGGCCAGGGCTTGTTCTTGAAGGCAGTAAGTCCTGACTAAGTCACATAAGGAAAGCTGGAGGCTTGGTAGACTCTAAGACATACACAAATTCTTGAATAAACACATATAGGTGTATATACTACCTAAAGGTCTACAGAATCCAGTATAGGTCAGGATAGGCTCCCTGCTAGCTGCAGTAACAAACATCCCATACATCTCAGTGGTTGAATACAATGCGATTCAGTCCAAGCAGGCCTGCAGGGAGTAGGCAAGGAAGAGCTGGATTCTGTAGCAGGAACTCCACATCTTCAACATGTGGCTCTCAAGGTCACCTGACTATTATCAGGCACTTGGCAGACATCGAGAAACAAGTACAAGGATCTGGCAAGAAATTCTAGGGCCCAGGCCTGAAAGTCACACATGATTCCCACAACATTCCATTGGCTAGAATGCAGTCACACGGGATCCCAGAGGATGTTGGGAAATATAGGCTGCCTCTGCAGCCAGAAGGGAAGGAAAACTGGAGAACAAGGACAATTTTTTGAAGGGCAAAGGGGTAAAAATTAATAATAAGTCATTCGCTTTATGTGTATTATTCATTGAATCCTCATTGTTAGTAATAGATTTTTTTTATTTTATAGCCATTTCATGGAGAAGGAGACTAAGCCACTTACCAGGATCACAGGGTAGTGAGCAGTGAGGCCAGGAATACACACCAGACTCGCCTCTCGTCCACAGGGAGTGTTCAAGGCTCTCCATTTTGACTTTGGTGTGTCCTGTATCTTGAGTGGGAAGAAAAGTGAATGAAGAAGCTAATTTTGAGCTTATATTTTGGAGTCAGCTGACCCTTATTAACTCCTTATTCTTGGCAGACACCATTCAGAATGCTTTTCCACACATTACATAATTAACGCCTCCCCAAACCCTAAAGACACCCAGTTATGTGCTACCTCACTTTTATGGAGGAGCAAACTGGGGCACAGAGAAGTTATGTCACTTGCCCAAGGCCCCACCGCTATAATGCGGGGCACAGGTCCTCCAACCTCAGTGGCTACACCAGTCCTACAGACGACCTTCCATTCCCAGTTATGCACTCATGCAGCATGTGATGTTCTTGGTCACCCCACAAGTTCAAGAAAGGTGGCGAAGGGTCTCCCTTACCTGCTGTCCCCCCATGCAGCCCACCTGTTCCCTCCCTTGGAGCTCCTGATCTGAGGGCAGGATTCTCCCCACAGTGTGTTGCAGCAAAATCCCTCACCACACCACTTGCCACCTGGGAGCGCCATGCAGAGCCCACCAACTGGCCCGTTGAGGTGGCACTGTAACCTCGCGGCTGGCATGACCTACATGGCCTTGCTCCACCCACCATGGCTTTGTGAAGGCGGTTGTCGGCCATCTCTGACCACCTCATTTCCACCTCAAATCCAGCTCTGGGAGCAGAAACAGGTCTGGGGTGAAGGTGGAGGGGACCCAGGCCACGCTGTGGATGATGCATGTCACCCTGGCCCTTGCTCATGTGGGGTGACAGCCAGACCCACAGGAGCTCTGGGGGATGGAGCAGCATGGCCCTTGCCTCACACCCTGCACAAGGTCAAGGTGTCAACCACAACCCTCAACAGAGAAGCAGAGAGCTGGCAGGTGGGGGAAAGGTGGCAGAACTGGGTCCCAGGCACCCAGCAAGGCACCATGTGGGCAGCAGACACAGCCTCCCTGAGCTGCAGCGCCCAGTGCAGCTGGCCACAGAGAGCACCCAGGGCCAGCCTGGCATGGAGCCATCCCCGAGGGCTGGCCTAGGTGCCCTTGAATCCAGCCTAGAGATTAGTCTTGGAAAAAGACTAATAAATTAGCTAATTAATTTTAAAAAGTAAAAGGTTTAATTCTCGATCCATCCACATCATCAAATGAGACTCTTCGTTGATAGACATTTTGCAATTAAAATAATGATCTCTCCGTTCATCATGGGCCAGGCATCCTGAACCTGAGGGCTGAAGCCTTGAGGTAGGTCGGTAGCCTGGCCTCCTCCCAAGCTGCCAGCACAACAGCCATGGAGCCATGGAACTTGGTGTTTCTGAGGCCAGCAGTCACGCTCCACAGAGCCCTGCCCATACCTGATCTTGGTCCCCACAGCAGCTCCAAGAGGCAGGTGGAGCTGACCTCATTCCCCCATTTTATAGACAAGGGAACAGACGCTCCCGCAGCTTTCAGTTAGCAGCGCCAGCTCTGCTCCTGCAAGCACAGGGCGCGGGAGGAACCCCTGAGCCACCCAGGGGTCAGGGGCTTCTGGGCCACCTGCACACCAGCACATGGGCATGACATTTGCCAGACAGAGGCCTGATGCTGGACGAGGATAAGAGCCTGGACCCTGGAGGGCGGGGCTGGCTTCAAATCTCAGTGGGGCCACTTGACGGTCCTGAGACCACAGGTGAGCTGCTGGACCCTGTGTCTCCAATGCGAAATGCGGGCCCTGCTACGCTTACCAGCTAGGGCCACTGTGGAGACTTAGGGGACAATACTATGTGTAAGGAAGTCAGAACAGGGCCTGGCATGTGGCGGGAGCCACTCAGGCTCTGAGGACCCCTGATGCAGGGAACTCCACCCACAGGTTTGCTTGCCCTGTTCTGTGCCTCTGGAATGCCAAGTCTGCGGCTTATTCCTTATGAAAACTGATGGGGACCGTGCAGCATGGTGGTTATGAGGACAAAGCTCTAGTTCCAAGCCCAGATCCCACCACTTCCTGACTGAGTGGCCTTGGCAAGTTCTTTTTATATGTACATATTTACTTTATTTATTTTTATGTGCTGCTAAGGATGGAACCCAGTGCCTCACATGTACGAGGCAAGTGCTCTACCACCGAGCTATAACCCCAGCCCCCGGGCATGTTCTATTTCTGTTCTGAGCCTCAGTTTCCTCTTGACAATAAAAGAACCATTTTGACAGATGTGTGTTATGCTAAATAACATCAACACACAAAGCACTTTCATCAGTTCCTGGCACCTGCAAAGGGACAAACAAGTGTCAGCTATTATTGTATCCATGTCCCCAGCACCATCACTGCACCTGATGGTGCTAAGCAACTGTTCTGAGATACACAAATGGATGGAGTATTTATATTTCTTGATCTCTGGATAGCCAGAGAGGAGTGGCCACTGAGGATGGTCACCATGCCCCAGCATTGTTTATAGTGATCTCACTGAGTAAATAAATAGCAGGAGATGAGGAGCCCAGCCAAGCCTTCCAGAAATACTCTGTCCCTGGCTCCAGTCAGCACAATGAGACGGAATGACCCTAGCCTGTTGACTCATCTCCTCACCTTGAATTGAGCTGCTGAGGCAGCCCCACCCAGCTTCTCAGCCCTGGCAGGCTGTGGGGAGAGGGGGTCTGGTAGCCCAGCAGGAACCAGTATAAAGCAGCTGCTCTGAAGGAGAAAGAGCAAGTGTGAATCTGTAACTAACATCAAAGAAGAGCAATGGAAAGGGCAGAGGAGCTCTGGCCAGGAGGCCAAAGGCAAAGACCCTGCCACAAGATGTCCTCACTGGAGGAGGAAGGGCACTCCCGGACCTACAGGAGGAAAGCAGGCAGGGCTTGCTCAGGACAGGGACATCTATAGGGTCCTAGGACCAAACTGGCCCAGACCAGCAAGGCCTCAACTGAGGGTGAAGGTGGGGCAAAACTAGGGAAGAGATCTAGAAGGGCCTTAGCCACCTGTCAGGCCTCGTCCCCTGGCTCAGGGAGGATGGGAGGAGTTCTCAGAAACTGGTTCCAGCCCATGTCAGACCCAGGTAGGGAAGAAAGTTGGCATCATTGAGAACAGTCTGTAGTTCTGCTGGAGAACTTAGACTTCTTTAGCAAATTGTTATTTTCTCGTTTTGAAAATAAAAATTTCCACGTGGATGATTTTGCTTATATCCTTGAACAACAGACTTGGGCACATAAGAGATAACAAGTTCAATCACTCTGGTGTTGAGGTCAAAGAGGAAGCGACTCCATTCATCCATTTCCTGGGCTTCATTGAGCACCTACTACATTCCAGGTACTGAGCAAAGTGCTGAGAGCCTGCAGAGAAGAAAGGTTCCATTTCTGCAGAACTTACACTTTGAGGAGAAGACAGGAAATAATGGCCAAGCAAAAAGGTGAAAACTGTTCAGATCAGGATCAATACTAGGAAGAACACAGAGCTTTAAGTTAAAGATGAGCAGGATGGTCCATGCCAGTGAAGACGTCTTGGGGTGACAGTTGAGTGAAGGCCTGAAGCAGAAGCCATGACAGAGAAAGGCAAGATCCCTGTCTGCAGGGGCAGAGGCAGGAATGCGTTCAGGGAGGTCCAGGAAGATGGAAAATGTGGACATGGCCCAGGTGCAGTGAATCCTCCTAACATTTATCAGGCACTTTTCTATGAGCCAAGCACCATTTTAAGTACTGTGTGAAAGCTCATCAAGGTCCTTGAGTGTAGGGTTCCATTATTGACCCCATTTACAGCTGTGGAAACTGAGGTCAAAGAGGTTAAGTCATTTGCTCAAAGTCCCCCTTTCAGGACAGTGCAAGCAGCATTTGGGTCGCGGGCAGGCATTCCGCATCCAGAACCTATTGGAGCAGATGGCCAGGCCATAGCCGGAACCTTGGGCCTCAGGAAAGAGTTTGATTTTTGTTCCAAGTACAATGGAAAGTGATTTACAATGTCACGCAGTACTTTGGCCGTCAGTTCAATGCAATGGTCACTGCACACCTACTGTGTACAGGAACAGAGCCTCATCTCAAAGTCCCTTCCAGAGGTTCAGGCTTCCCCCGGTGAGCCTGGGGTCTGAGCACCAGACCTGGCCTCTCAGCCACAGGGGACCCCTGCTTTCCTAGCTGATCCCTTGCTCCCCAACCCCATCTCTCGCCCCAAGCGGGCTTCTCGGCAAAAACTGGCGCTGTGAGCGCGGAGTGGCTCGGGTCTCGGCCCTCGGGTTCCTGCGCCCAGGGACGCGCAGCAGCGCGCAGCCCCCGCGCCCCCGCGCCGGCGCTGGCGGGGGTCCGCCCCACCTCTCGCCGGGCCGCTGCCTCCGGAGGCATCCAGGGTCTCTCGCCGAGGGGACGTGGCGTGGTTAGCGGATCTTCAAAGTGCCCCGATCCTTGACCTGCCCGGGGAACCCTTTGCTCTGTAACTCGCATTTCCAGGGCCACAAGCCCCGGGTCCCCGCGCGCCCCGGCCCGCAGCGCGCGGACGCTGACCCCTGCCGGGACGCTGGTTCGGAGCGAGCCCTGGGCTCTGCGGCCGCCGCGCGGTGACACCAGAACGTTCCATCCAAACGGCGGCGACCCGAGCGTTCCAGCCTGGTGGGGGCGCGGCCAGATTGGCAGGTCCCGCGTTGCAGGGGTGGGAGCCGGGGAGGGCTGTTGTGCACAATTGCTGTTTTTACTCCTGCCACCATTAATTCAGCTATTGACGGAGAAGGGAGGGTCCGCCGCGGCTTTGTGCCACGCACTCACTGTAATTTACTTGAAAAGAATTAAATCACGATTACCTGCCATTTGTTTTGCATAAAATGAGCCGTAAGGAGTCTGTAATGGCAGAGCGCTTGAAAGGACAACAGCCCCATTGTTGCCATATTAGAACAATATTTCTCAATTTGAAACTTAAAACATTCGAATTAGCAGCTTTGTTTGACCACGGTGGCCCGGGGGTAGGCAGGACACCGGACACCCCTGGTCCGAGTCCAGACATTACAGTTAACGAGCATAATTTTCATTCATTTAAGTCTAGACCGATTTTTAAAAAATCATTCCTCTTATTGTCCAAATGTACCCCCCAAATGTTGGAAAGGAAAACGCAATCTTTTATCTGTTCCCTAGTCCCCTTGATAAATTATCTAAATGCCACGAAAATTCCTTGTGCCAGAGTGAAAATCAGAGAGAGCAACCCTGTAATTAGCCCACTTGAGTTTTGTTTAAATGTCCAAAGAAATCACACTGTTTCTCAAATAAAGTTACTTCTGTTCTCATTTTCTCCCCTTTCAGAGATGGTCTTCATGTAAATATGACTGATTAGTCTTTGAATCTAGATTTTAAAGTGTATTTAGGGCACCCGATTCTACAAACTTCCAGCAGTGTGGACTGTGGACTGAGCTGTTGAGCAGGGCTCGCTTTTTAACAAGTTCGGTGCAAGTAAACTGATGCGTTGAGTGAGTTGTAGTTTCCATTCACATTAATGTTTTCTTAGTAACAAAGTGTAACTCTTCAATCAAGCTTGAGCTTTAAAAAGAACACAGATATCAATTGTATGAACCTTTGAACAACAGGAAAACTAACAGCAAAATACCATGGGTGGCATCAGAGAGAGTGACTGCACAACTTTTTTAAATGTGAAAATAAAGTGGCTGAATTATAAGAGTGAAGGAATAAAGCTAAAGGGATGAAAAGGTAGAATTTTTAAAAATCTGGTAAAAAACAAGCTGATGTTCAGATTTTGGGCAGGGAATCATCAAGATATGAAATAAGAAAATTGCGTAATTCAGGAGAGCACATCTGGGAAGAGATAAAAGTGTATTTACTATTGTTAATGCTGGAATCTCCCAAATTTAAAAAGTGAAATTTTGTGATTGAAATGTTATTCCTATTTTAAGATGTTTATTTCTTAAAGAAAGGTTAAAGGCTACTTGCTGATTTTTTTTTTTTTAACTATCTAAATGGATGGTCTTTTCCTTTAAGGAAAAAAAAATACTTTGTTGTATGCACTGCTTTATTTTTTAATCCATGTGAAAATTAAAGTATTTAACTTTTATTTTTAGTGACTTTAATTTTTTAGAGTAATTTTTTTTTCTTTTCTCTTTTAGGAAAGAATGAACATTTGGTTTCAGCAGAAAACATATTATATGTGGAACAAACCAAGGACTCAACTCCATTTTTCATGACTAGGTTTTTGAACAATAATCTGTAGAGGTGGGGGAGGAGGGGACTCATCAGGCAAAGGAAACAAAGTCCCTGATCTATATTCTTACTCTGATGTCACCTCCTGGAATATCAGCAACATTTTCAGTTTCAGTGGAAGCCACGAATTCCTTCAGAACAAATCAAATGTCTTTAAAGAATATTTCTGTTTGAAAAGGAATTAAGCTCTCCTGAAAGAATTTTAAAGGTTGTGATTTTCACAGTCTGATAAAGCAGCACCTTTAATGAAATTCTAATTAGCAATTTCATGCACTTTGCTATTAGTCATATCAGATTAGTGCACATTTTCACAGCCTTCCTTTAATTAAGTGCACTTATTCCAAGTTTCAAACACTTTCCTTATAAGATGAAAACTGTGCTGAAATGTTATTTAGTAAACAGAGGAAGTGTGAAAGTGTAGGTGTGCATGTGTATAGGGGTGGACATTTTTAACTGTCTACAAATTTTTTTTTACATTCAGAATCAGTGAGCTCGGATTTGCATTCCTTCTTTCTTGTATTCTCAAAGTTTTCTTGCATTTCCAAGAAAGTCATTCAAATCCTTATCCCAAGCATATAATGTGGATTTTTGTCCAATACCTATTTTCTATATGAGTTTTTGGTGGTGTTGCTTCGAACATCTTTTCCATATGCATGTGTTTGCATGTGGAGAGAGGGATCCTGCTTACAAGAGAGAGACTTAAGAGAGAGTAGGGGGATTGAAAGAGAAACTACACAATATCCAATATTTCATTTAAAAATTCCCTCTCAAAAGCAATGAGCAAGCATTTACCTATAAGATATCCCCTTTTGCAAGGCACCTCCTTTCCTGTGAAATACAGCAACAAGATTTCATTTTACCTTCTAAATTTTATTCAGAAGGCCCAGCAAAGAACAGCAGCCGGCTTCATCATCCCGATCCATGGGGCACAAAGACAACTTCTTGCATTTAGACTTCACTTTTCCATGGCAAGAGCCAGGCAGTCACACCCATCATTTTCAAACAAGGAGAGCCAATCCTTGGGTGCCCACCCTACGACTCCCTGAACCTCCCAGGATCCTCCCTCCTGGCCTGCTGCAGGTTGCTCCAATTCAGCAATTGTACTGTCTGAGAATTAACTTGATCTTATCTGCAGCCTTTTGTCAAGAGGAAATTTTGTTGCCTGTTTTGCTCAGAGGTTGAAACTTGTAATATATTAACTAATTGCTTGCAACTCTAACATGTGTTCTTGTTGGTGTCATTCATTTATACTGTAACATTTTTGACATTTTTAGATGGTCTCTTGGGATGCCTGGGCCTCTTAGCAGCTCCCTCCATGAAGAGTGTTTGCCTAATGATTACTGACTGACATCTCAATAACGGTGCAATGCAGGACTTGGGTGTATCTATTGAAGAGTTCGGTGTATGAGTGCGTGTGTGTGTGTGTGCGCGCCCGCGTTTTAATTCATGGTCCACTTTGTCAAGTCATGTGTGAGCCATAATTTAAGCTAATAATTACCAGACACGAATTCAATGAAACATTGGTGTCTACACTTACAAAAAAATAGTTCTGAATTTTAATGCATTCAGAAAGCGTTTGCCTAGGGCCAGGCTGGGTCCAACACGCATATGGAAGCACTTTAAAAGTGATAAATGATTTGGAATCTACCCTGTCTACTGGTGTGCTTCTCAGGAAAGAAAATTAGAGCTAACAGGTGTTAGATAGGGAATGCTGGGGCATTTTAATAGAATTGTCAAAATGTTGGTACCAGATGTTGACATTAATGCACACAACTCGGAACGTAATGCCGGGCCGCCATTTAAATGATTATTTGTTTAAATTTCAAGTCGCCAGCAGGAAATCCTTACTTTGTTCAGCACCTTTCTCTACACACCCTCCCCTGCTCTTTCCCCTACGATTTGCATCAAAGTGCAGTGGCTGCTGGGCTCACATAGGCATGCTTTAAATAATCCATGCCTGTCAAATTTCATTTCTTCTTTTCAGATCATACTCATCGCTTACCCATCCTAGCCAGCCTTGAAGTCGACCTCGACATATTCGCATTTGAGAAAAAAATGATTTAAATACTGCCAGTTACAGGATAATTAATCTTTGAACTACTCGGTAACTTCAAATGTATATACCAAGTAATCTGCATGAACTTGTAATTGCTATGTATTTATACGATATTTTCCATGTAATCACCAAGTCGTTACATGGTTATGTGAGCCTTGTAAATTATGGTGATAGCAGAGAACTCATCTTGACCACACCACTGCAAGAAGCCCAGGCAGGAGCCTTGCTATCCACTGCAGTCAATTGATCAAAGGATCCAGAAAGAGTCTATCCTTTAAAGGACGCTAGAACATTTGCCTGCAATGGAGTCCCAAGTTTAAGAAATATCACGGAATAGAGAGACTGGCGGCGTGGACAAAGGGTGGCCTTTTTCATTTAGCTTGCACGCCAAGACTGTGATTGGTTTGAGCCAATTATTGCTGCTGAAGTTGAAAGGCAATAGGAAGAAATAAAAAAATCTCTCGGCAAAAGCCACCATCAGGTCTACACGCAGCATTCTGCAGCCACTTGGGGAAGGTCCTGAAATAAATTCCAATGCGAGTTTCAAAAGCAAACCCTGAGGCGCATTTGGTTTGTCATCTTTTTGAACCCAATTAAAGCAGAAGCAAAACCCTCAGCTTTTCCAGACCAGGACGTCTTGTCCCAACTCTCCAAAAGTAACCTCCTTCACAAACGAAGCATGTGTGTACATGTGTGTGCACAGACGTGTGGGGGTGAGGGGGGCTGGTGTGGTTCCGGGGCTCTTAGTGTCCTCACCTCCCACACTGGACCACGGGGTTCCTTTTGTTCTAAAGCGGCTGTCCATATGTGAAGGACCCTTCTTGCTTCTTGTGAGTTTCTCTCCTTTGTCCCTGAAGGAAGCTGAGGTCTGATTTTCCTTGCATGTGACAGGAGGAGGAAGCCAGAGGAGACTTGGGAGCCTTTCTGGGAGCTGCAAGTGGCTGAGCCACTCAGAACAGGGCAAGGGGGACCAAGAGACGGAGTGTCCACTGGCCTCTGGGTTGCCCTGGCCTCATGAGTTTTTCTCTTTTCTCAGCCTGCTTAGAAATAGGGGGGACGAACCCAGGTGACGGCCCTGAAGGCTCTTCCAAGGCCCCGAGGCTTAGCTCACCCTGGTTTTTCCCTCGGCTCAGTAGCCACATGTGATGAGTGGCTCCCAACCACCAGAAGAAAATACACTTCTAAACTGCTTTGGAGATTACTGGTCTAGAACTCTTTATTCTGTGGTCTCCCTCCTGATCTTCTCCTGCCCAGAGACACCAGCCATGGGAGTCAAATTAAAAAAAAAAGAAAAGAAAAGAAAGAAAGAAATTGAGAGGGGTTTCCAGAGCCCAGGGAGGGCTGCCTGGCCTCCTCATAGGAACCCCACTTTATTCCTGGGCCTTGTGCGCAGGGCCAGGGTCAGACCCAGCACTCAAGAGTGTGACCCACCCAGGCCCTGGCAGACATCTGAGGTCATGCAGTGTGCACGTGGCTAGGGGCCAGTTCTGTTGACTGAATTGAACTGGTAATCGCCTCACAGACACGGAGATTTGCTGGTAGAATCCTGGGATGCCTTTTTGCCATCTAGGATATAAAATTCCAGGCACATTTCTAAGAGGAAATTCTGATTACTCACTATCACCTATTACCTTTTATCACAGATGCTGCTATTTGCTCCTTTTTTTTTTTTTTGTACCGGGAGTTGAACCCAGGGACACTTAACCACTGAACCACATTCTCAGCCCTTTTTACTTTTATTTTGAGAAAGGGTCTGGCTAAGTTGCTGAAGCTGGCTTTGAACTTGTGATCCTCCTGCCTCAGCCTCCTGAGCTGCTGGGATTGCAGCCATGCCCCACTGCACTATTGATATTAGATTTTACTCCTATCACACCTGTTTTTTCAGCATCAATCAAATGCCAGATTCATTTCCTCTTTAATCCTCACAACCTTATGAGTTAGGACTTGTGATTCCCGTTTTGCAGATGGATAAGTAAGGCTAAAATGGATCCACTGACTCTGCAAAGCAACACGACTGGTCAGAGGTGGATCAAGAGCTAAACCCACCCCACTCTCCATTCCCTCCAGCCAGGCCTGTCTCTGCTCCCACACCACAGCCAGGGAGCTGAGCAGAACTTCAGAATCCTCAGAGGTGCTTATTCTCCGTGTGCAGCTTCCTCATCTACTTCGCTCTTCCGAGAGCTGTTGATTCCTCTGCCCTCCCCATCAGGAGTAGTGTGCAAAATGGCTCCAATTTCCCCCTCCCCATGTCCATGCCCCTTCACAACATGATTCTGCAACTCCTTCCCTTAAGAGGTGTGGTGTATTTTTGTAGCATGTACTTTTCAATCTAGGTTGGCCTTGTGACTTGCTTCAACCAGTAAAATATGGCAGAAGCAATGCTGAACTCCTTCTGAGCATGCGCCTCAAGAGTCATTTCCTTGCATATTCTCTATCTCTATGTTTCTCTCTCTTCCCCTCCCTCCCTCCCTCCCTCCTTCCTTTTCTCCTTCCTTCCACCCTCCTGCCACCACTATCTAAGCAGCCCAAGACAATCTGCTACATGATGCCAAGTACATGGTCCAGTTCTCCCCATTGCCCAGCTAATAGCCAGCTAACCACCAAAAGAAAAGCCACTATCCCTCTTGCAGCTGGCCATCAGTGGACGGAAGCCTACTCACTCAGGAAAAATGAACTGCACAGCTGAGCCCAACTCAATTTGCAAACCCATAGAATCAAAAATAAAGGTGTTGTTGAAGCCACAGAGGGGGTTTGTTTCACAGCAAGCATGAACTAAGACTCACTCCTGAGCCAGGTGGTTTTCCTCATTATCTTAGATGTGTTCATATTGTGTCTTCTTTCTTTTGATTCTTTTCACTCCCTGAGGCTGGATAAGGGCTTCTGCAAAAGCCTCCAGAATCCGTCCACCTGGTCAGACTCAAGACATTCCTCCTGTCGCCAGCCCCAGAGTACCAAGAAACCTCTGCTCACAGGACCACTGACAAATGAGAACTTTTATTTTCAAAAGAGTCTAAGTCTGAGGCCACAGGACATGAGGTTAGTTCTCATTTTTGTTTCTGATTTTGAACCAAACCACAAAACCTCCCACACCCTCTGAGATTCCTGTTTTCTCTTCTTTCTTTTCATAGCCAGACATGCTGAGGAAAATGTCCCTCCCCCACAAATCCATCCGTGGCCAGAGCGCTGAATGAGCCCAGCAACTCATTGCCAGTGTTCCCATTGGGTCCACAGATCCCAGGCCCTGCCAGGTCCAGAGTGGAACCCACAGTGGAAATTTGTAAGGTCACAACTGGAACACGAGGGCCGAGGGAACAGCGCATTCCATGCAGCCAGAAGTGAGACGCACGGAGCTGGGTCATGGCCAAGCTGAGCCCTTCCAGAGCCTCCCCAGGGTCTCCACCAAGGGCCCATCACCTCTGTCTTGGGCTTCATATTTCTCTGTGCAAAGATGAGTTTGGGGGATTTCTAAGCACTGAAAACTCCTGCATCCCTTCAACAAGGTCTTAGGCACCTACTACGTGCAACAGGACTTGAAGGGATACAGTAGGGAAGGAAAAGAGGTGTATGCTTACAAAGAGCTCAGTAGTGGAAGGGTATAGGACATAAGAGGGTGTCCAGCAGAGAGCTGGAAAAAGATGATCGCTGACCTTTATGGGCACCTTTCTAAATGTTCTAACATACATTAGTGCATTTCACCTCACCTCTCCCACTATGGAGGCACTATTGCCTGCCCTTTAGCAGATGAGGCATCCAGAGGTTAAATGATCTGGGCCATCCCCAGCTGCATTCATGAAAGGATACAGGAGGATTAAGTGAGTGGAAGTCCGGCCTCGGACTGATATGTCAGAAATGGAGCACCCTTCCGCATTTCCACTACGTGAAACGTGACATAAAACATCTGGCATAAGTGTTTCATGATACACACGTGATTCTTTCAACTTTAAAAATTATTAGTATATCAAAACAATTAAAGCATTAATTAAATAGAAAGATAAACAAAAGCATTGCTAAGGTCGTTTTTTTATACCAAATTCTGGTCCTGTGGGAGGATCTGAAGTGGTTTTTATACAACAAA